CTATCATCCACCATCTCGTGGTAAACACAGATACATTCATACATGGCCTCCCTCAACACTGTTGGTCACTTCTATCATCCACCATCTCGTGGTAAACACAGATACATTCATACATGGCCTCCCCCAACACTGTTGNNNACATGGCCTCCCTCAACACTGTTGGTCACTTCTATCATCCACCATCTCGTGGTAAACACAGATACATTCATACATGGCCTCCCCCAACACTGTTGTTCACTTCTATCATACACCATCTCATGGTCAACACAGATGCATTCATACATGGCCTCCCCCAACGCTGTTGGTCACTTCTATCACTTCAATTCTATAGTAGTCTTTGTACGCACCTGAAGAAAATACTCATGGCGTTCATCAGTAGTCTTAGCTCCATCCGCTAACATTCTTTTAATGGCAGCTTGCTTCCTCATCACTCTCGCCGCTTCCCTTCGATATCCAAGCTGAGCTAGCTTTTCTCTAGCTCCACGCAGGTACTGTATTTTAGGTAAGATGGCCAATAAAATAGTTGGGGATATGATGATGAAATTAATTTTGGCCCACAGAGATTTATAATTCAAAATTAAACAAAATCTAAGATTAAAATATTAGCCCATGACAATGCCGAAAATCTTCTACTTTTTTATTTCATTTTTAATTGAACTTTAACTCAAGACGTTCGGTCATAACGCAGTCGATCCTAATCAACCATGGTAAAAAGAGAAACCACAAGTGCTTATTTCTGAAGGTTAATAAAGTAGATGATTGTTTCAGTGAGATAAAAGCCAAGATAAGACACTCGTCTACTGAACGTAATGGACTAGTTCGACGATACGGCGGCCATCTTGCCATGGGACAAAACTAAACAAAGATGACAAAAAATGTATAGATTTTCATGCGTTTTCTTTCTTTTATGGGTAAACGGGTCTAACTAGGAAACTATATGGTTATTTAGGCTCTTACATTTAACTTTATTTATTTGACGAAATAAGTATTTTCTTTCTATTCAATGATCTAAATATATAATTTAATGTAATCTAACATAAAAGGATTTGTGAATAAAGATGTATTGTATTGTAAACGATGTGCTATTTAATTCATCTTTTGTTGCTTTTTCTTCGGTAATCTGTTATAATCAATCGACGTCATTACTGTAACAAAGCTTTATTTGCCTCGACACCCCATAATGCCTTGCGATCCATGATGACTTTTACCGCCGTATTGTCGAAGTAGTCCATTGCAGTCCCACTCCCAAAATGAGATAGTCTTTGAAAAAATCCAAGCAGCCATAATCATCTCTTTTCGTTGGTCAAACACTGAGTTAAATTGTTTTACCTGATATGCGTTATCGCAATTCATTAACGTCTCTTCGTCTTTTTCCTTACTTTCATCGTTAACGAGATAATCAAATAATAATATGCCATGCCTAAAAAACAATAAACATTGGACAATAAGCCACTAGCAATAACAGATCACGTGAAACTATTCCCTTCAAACGAGCAGTTGGATCAAAATGAACATCAGAAATTAAAGAGCACCCTATAATGAATGAACGAATAACGAGAGACGAGTGTCTCGTGTTCGTTCTCACCAAAGAACACCTCGATGTTAGTATAGCGAAGTTTCAGTTCATAACATGTGACACAGGAAAAATGGTATTGAATATAAAATAAACTGAATATTTCATAAGATTATGTAAGAAGGCGAAGCTTAGTTCATAAAGTGTGACTCAGGAAAAATGGTATTGAATAAGCTGATGCATAGGGGTGTTTGCTTGAAAGTATGTTCTTGTCTGTAATGGTGACACAAGCTTGAATCTAGCCTTTCCCATTGGTTGGGTCTGTTGGATAGGGGACGACGGGGAGGAAGGGGACAACGATGCAGGCCTTATACTCATTACATATAATATTTCAATTATAATAAAACATTACATAAGTCGCCTGCATATTTCTCCTTAAAGTAAATTAACACATTTACCTGGCTTCTAGGATAGCCTCGATGTAGTCCGACAAGTTGGCCTTGTTTTCGTTTTCTTCTGACAAGCCTTGAAACAGTGATTTAGCATCAACAATAATCCCACGAGCCTGAAATATTACAAGGAGATTTCAACAATTTTAATTGAATTTAAATTTTAGTTTAAAAACTTGAAAAGTGTTTATAATTTCATTTGATTTGTTCGCCACATTCTTGTCGTTCTGATGCTGAATCACAACAGACTGCCGGGGGTTAGCATTCAAACTGCTTTTAAAATGTCTTCTTGTGTGGGCATGTAGATGTAAATTGATGAGGGAAATAAGCTTTTAATAGGGGGAGGGCTGGGGATTCAGAGGGGAGACGGTAAAAAATTGAACTTTGGTAGAGCTAAATCTTGTTCCTTGTTGACTCTATAGGAGAAATGGGAGGACTACAGTCATTTTTATTAATACTAAAAATACACTGGTCTTATAAAAAAAACGAACCACAAAAAACAAACAACCAAAGAAAAAAACACACACAAAAACAAAAAAAACAAAAAAAAAACAACAAAAAACAAAAACGAAAACAAACAAAAACAAACAAAAACAAACGAACAAACAAACAAACATATTAACTACCTTTTCCAAAGCTTCTTTGTCAGGTTTGTTAGGATTTTGAGAGCGTTTATCGATTTTGTACAGGCATGCCTCGACAAGAAGAAGAGTGGTTTGAAGCCAAAACTTTTGGTCTCCCTTTAGACTCTGAAAAGAAATTCGTACACCATGTTTATATACAACAGATGGCGGGGAAAAAATGGTTAGCAAACGTGTTAAAAGCTTATTTAAAACTAATAAATCGTGTTTATAAAACTGAAAAAATACTTCATTGTTTTACTTAACAAAATGGTAAAAAGTTCCAAACTATAGATTAAAGGTCGATTACAAAATATTGACGTCGGTGACATAGGTATACTTTGTCCTCGTGGCTTGTCTCTTATCAATTAGTGATTTCCCATATTGTGTCGATAAACAGACCAAAGAACTTTGTTTAAGAAGTAATTAAGATCCCGAAAACGAAATAAAACTATTTGGACAGTTATTAACACGTATTAGTAAAAATACACAGGTAATTATTGAAATCTCGCGCGCTGATTGGTCGAGAAACTATCACACGACAATCTCCTTCAGCGATAATCCAAAATGGCAGCCAGCCGCTTTGTTGCTGTTACCGGAAAAAAATGTCTTTTATCTTCTTTTTTTTCATTATTTTGAAAAAATCACCTGTGTATTTATGCTAAAACAATTATTTGCCTCAGCCTCAGTGAATATCGGAAAATGTCGAAACTCGCGTCTCGGTAAATATTCCCCGATATTCACTTCGCCTTCGGCAAATAATTGTTGGATAATCAAGACCTAAGATACTAAAGCAAAAACAAACTAGTAAAAATTGGACCAGAACTAAAAAAAGTTTATTAGTTGAATTGTTTAACTTTAATAACTATTTCAGACTGTCAACATTCGCAGTCGGAAAATTTTTCCTGAGTAAATCGGTTTGGAGTTCATCTTTTTGAAGCAACAATAAACTTATAATAAAAGCAAAGATAAGAGAAATAAAAGAAAACGTCCTACGGAAAATAAGTAAATGAAAACTTTTGCATGAATTTCATATTAAGAGGAAATTTTTTTCAATAACGAGCAATAATGGCAAAAAGCGCCAAAAACTAGACCTTCATATGACTGAGTTTTGATCCCAAGTTTTCGTTTTGGTTAACACTCAAAACCTTTTTTTAACAGTTAAAAACTTATGTACTATGATAAAATGCTTATTTGAAGCGGTATTTTCAATTGTACAAAGATGTTTTGTTGCATTTGCGTTAGAATGTAGAGCAAATATTCCAAATGTATGGACAATTTTTTCCTATGCATTTAAGAAATCTGTAATCTGAACAATTATTCACATTTATTCACATTATTACATTTCACTTTACCTTTTGCAAACCTTCTCGAGAAAGACAAGTATTCTTATTTTTATCTACCATTTTGATATCCTTGCGATTCCTTTTCACTGGTCTTAAAGAATTTTCACTGGTCAACTGACTTTTCACGTTTGCCGTAAACGAGAATCTTAATCTCTCTATTAATTCAAAGCAAGACGATCAAACCTGCTTTTTTGAAAAAAACTGTTTTCAAACGGCTGAATAATTTGAAAAAGATTGAAAAGTTTGAAAAAACGTAATTAATTTAACTTAAAGAAATGGGTTGTGTGGGTTTTTTGTCATATATATCGTTTGAGAACTATTCAGTTTTTTTCGTGCTTTGAAAATTTTGTTTTATTCTCGAAAGCTCAGCTTACTATTTTAGCTTATTCTCGAAAAATTTCTCAAAGTAGATTTTTTGAAGAAAAAAAACATCCACTGCAAAGCTTTTTTACGTTTCCAAGTTATGACTTATTTTGTGGGACATTGGAAAAACATTGCCCATACATTTGGAATATTTGCTCTTTTCGGTCTTTTT